TCTTTATTGGATTAATGACTATACTCTTTTAGGAGATACATTTTATTTTAAGACACATCCAGTAGGAAATTCATCTCACAGAGGTTTGTTGAGGCTATCAAAGATTATTTATTTATTTATTTATTTATTATTTATTTATTTTTGAGGCAAGTTCTCCCTGTGTAGCCCAGGCTGGTCTCCAACTTGCTGCAATCCTCCTGTCTCAGCATCTTGAGTGCTGGGATTACTCATGTGTGCCTTGCAGAAAAGATTTTAAACCAATTTCAAGGTATTTATGTGTAACTTGCATCCAAAATGAAACAAATGTGTCTTGAAAAAAAAATCTATCTTCAATCCTCCATCTAGAGACAGTTCTACTGATTTATCCCATATAGATATGGTTAAATGTAAATTGTCTTTTAGTGAGAGAAATGTGTTCTGGATTTTATATACTTTTTATTTTTAGATGATTGCTGGCAAATTTACCTTAATAATAGCACATATGTTTTATCTGTTCCTGCAGGACGTGACAGATATACAACTTATGCCACCTGCTCCCTACCATACAAGTTTGCCAAGCTTGGACAGGGCCCTGCCTTTTTCAAAAATTAAGGCCATGATCACATACTTTGATGCTGCCTCAGTTTCAGCTCACTACAGAAATCACTAAACTGAGAGCCTTGGTCTCTGAAATTATCTTGTGGGGACTGGAACAAACAGTAGCATATGTGGCCCCAGCACGCAGAGCACATTTTGAATAGCACAGTTGTAGGAGAGACTTATCTAGATTAAAGTCTGATTCCCAGAACTCAGTGTCAGGCTCAAGGTCTTGTCTAGTTCAAGGGAAATAGAGCAGGAGGACATCATCTCCCTTGTTCCAGCTACATTACTTCTACTAATGCAGCCCAAGTTTAGCGTGCATGTGAGTGTGTGCCCAGTGTGTACATGTGCATCTCTGCCTTCCTATCACTACTGTCACTGTAAATAGACCCAAGTGTTGTTTTTTTTTTTTTTTGTCTTTTTGAGACAGTCTCGCTAAGCATTTCAGGCTGGCCTTGAACTCACTTTGTAGTCCAGGCTGGTCTCAAACTTGCGATGATCCTCCTGCCTCAGCCTCCCAAGTGCTGGTATTACAGGCATGTGCCACCACACCTGGCCCACAAGTGTTTTCATAGTTGTCTTTGTTCTGTCACATTCTCTCCCCCCAGTTATAGTGCCCTTTTCTACAAGTGACAAGAACTGAAGTTGCTTGTGCATATAATCTCATTTAGGTTAAAGTGGTGCTATACTAGGTACTTAATGATGGACAATATATATGACTGTGGTCTCATGAGGTTAACTGCCTAGTGGTATCACAGCCACCTTATCTTTTTTTTTTAATTGGTACCGGGAATCGAACTCAGGGTCTCGCACTTGCCAGGCAGATGCTGTGCTGCTGAGCCCCATCCCCAGCCCGATCCACCTTACTCTGAGCAAGCAGACTATCTGATGTTCACACAGAGACAGTGCTGTCTAACGATGCATTTCTCAGAAGCCAGCTCCTTTGCTCAGGGGTCCATAACTATTATAATCGAATAATCTTGCATATATAATCTCCCATATTAAATAATCTACTTTATAGATACATTCTATTTTTGGTTGTTGTTGTTGTTTGTTGTTTTGTTTTTGAGACAGGGTCTCATTGTAGTTCAGGCTGGCCTTGAACTTACTAACAGAGTTCAGGTTGGCCATGAACTCGAGATGATCCTCCTCAGCCTCCCAAGTGCTGGGATTATGGGTGTGTGCCACCATGCCCGGTTCTTCCAGATACATTTTGGGGACTGGAATTTCAGTGGTAAATGATATCAAATTTTGTGAGACATATTAAATTTTGTTTGACATTGTTGCCAGTAATTTATACCAAAATTGTACCTATTCATACTTGCGCCAGCAAGGTGCAGGAGTGTCTGCTTGGAGGATTTTTTTAAGGTTTATTTCTTCATTGTAACTGCTCCAGGCAGAATTAACCAACTGATTTTTTATGTTATAAAGCTGGTTTAGGATTGGAGGAATGAAGATCCAGCTAGAGGTTCCCACCCGGACGATAATTAGATATTGTATTTTTGAGAGGCAGTTTGATGTTAGGCACATCTGGATCCACACAATAGCAGCCATATCACAACAGGAAAATAGATTGTGTATTAGAAACACAACACTTTGAACATTTTCATTACTTAATTTGGACTCACATTTTATTGGGAAGCTAGATCGAGTGTCTTAATCATATTATTTATGAATATTTTCATTAAAAGTAGTGGTGAAGGGGGTCATTATTCACTTGTTGAGTTAGTTGGAATGAACCTCAAGATTTGCTCATTATAAAAAGAATTTTTAAAGTGATCAACATCACCGTGCAGCTAGGACCTGCCCTCAGTCGCAGAAGCGATTTCCTCCTTGGAGGTCAGCCCTGAGTTTTCTTGGAGGGAGTTCCTTGTTTCTTGTTCCGTGTCAGTGTGGTCTGACAGCAGTCCCAGGTCCTGGCCGGCGACGTCCATGTCACATTACCTCATGCCCTGTGTGCTTCAGTGTATCCTTGAGGTAGCCACGCAGCCAGGCTCCCGTCTGCTGGCTTTCTCCCGAGAGCGGGGCGGGTAATTGCATTTGCAGTCTGCGGACATCTATTTCCAGCCGATCAGCCCCGTGCCCCCGCTGAATCTCAGAGCGATGAATCAGAGCTCTAGGAGAGTGGCTGTCCCCAAGGTCTGTCTCTAGCTCCTGGTCCTGCATTTCATAATGAAGCAGCTTTGAGTTCCTGGACTGAAAATGTCCAGAAAGAAGAAATCAGAACTGCTAACTGGCACCTTCATGCTCCAAGATCACTAACTACTTTTGTGATTTCTATTACACAGACGTATGGGTACTTAGGGTTAAAAGAAGTGCTTCGGATTTGTTGGAGGACTGTTGGACTTTCTTATTTTTCAGTTGGTGAAATAATAGTATGATACTGATGTAGAAAAATTCCTCAGGGCTGAGACATTTTAATTGTCTTTTGGTCTTTTGGTGTTAGCCGCTTCTTGATTAATCTTCAAATTGACAGTAAATTCATTGTACTCAAACATCTGATATATTTTTTGTGTCTTTTGAGGGCTTTTAAAAGATAAATAATTGGTTACAAACATCACTGTTGACTGTACAAACTTTCTCCTTTTGCATTAGAGGTTTTGTTTCAATAAAAAGTTGATATGTAATATTCTATATGGCTTTAGAACTCTGAGGTGATTAAGATTAATTTTCTTTTTTGATTTTTTTTGAGACAGAGTCTTGTAAAACAGTTCAGGCTGGTCTTCAACTCACTATGGAGCCTAGGTTGGCCTCAGATTCACAGTGATCCTTCTGCCTCAGCCTCCTGAGTGCTGAGATTATAGGCAAGCATCACCACACTTGGCCTTGAAACATTAATCTTATCTAGAAATTAGAGAAGGAAAATACATAGAAAATTACTTCCTTCTTTCAAAGGACATTAAGCTATCAAGGAAAACAGATTAGGATTAATTTCTATCCTTGCATCACTGAATTTAGGACCTCACACATGAGATTGTAGTTGCTAAGTAAAATGGTGGCCCACATTGTAATGAGCAGGGTGAATGGTGGGTACTCTAACTGAGTGAGGAAATAGCTCTTATGTTACTGCTGTGTCTGAAGAGAAATCCATAAACTGTAAAAACGTATTTTTGATAGTGTCCTTGATTCTACTTTGAGGGCCAGAATCTAATTAGGAGCCACAGTGAGGTTTTTCTACAGAGATCCTAATTTGGAAAGGGGGAACAGGAAGCCCACATCTGAAAAGCAAGGGATTTTATAAAATCAGCTCCATGGTTAGTTATCACATCTCTGGAAAGGGCAGTTTTCTAACTACCTCTATGCCTGTGACTTTTCTTTCAAATTGATACTTGAGATTTCCTTTAAAGAAATCACCATAAGAAAAAGAGTAAAATGTTATGTTTTCTCTAAAGAGTAAGAACTAGCACTTCAGCTAAGCTTTTTCCTCATCTCCAAGCTGTTGGTGGAGATAATTCCTTTTAAAGTCCAGTTCAGAAGCAAAAGGGATGATTGCATTTTAACTAGCAGTCTGAAATGTTACCAGCCCATTCAGTGTAGAATCTGTGGTTGAAATATACTGTTTCCTTGCTGTATTTTTTACTCCTAATATACTCTTTTTAATTTTAAAAAATTTGCCAATTAACCAGCTAGCAACCCTATAGCAATGCTGGTCAACTGCTTAATCTTATTTGATGTAAATTAATGTACGTTGGAAGGTGATGTTAACAAGGGATTAAAATATAATATAAAAGATGCCCATTTAGTGCCACTGTGGACCATTCTACATTATGGTAAATAGAAATAGGTACACAGGGGCTGGGGATTTAGCTCAATGGCACAGTGCCTGCCTGGCAAGCATGAGGTTGTGAGTTCAATTCCTGGTACTGGAAATAAACCAAAAAACCAAAAAATCAAAAACAAAAAACAAAAATAGATACACAGGTAACTTTCTCTGTGCCCTACATTTTTCTGAATCTAATCATACATATTATATTATATTATATTCCTTAAGATTATTTGTTGTTTTCAGTATAGTACCTTAACTTCTACCTGTAATTCTCCACCACCGAATGGCTAGTTATTTCTGTTTTTTTTTTCTTTCTCCTGGTTCTATCAATTGTAGCTTTGTCTTCACAAGACAAGAGGATAATAGCCAATGAACAGTGAACGACAGACCTGGTTCACCTTTATGGAATGGTATTTTCATGAGAATGCTTATCTCCTTTTAAGCTGGGATTAAAAAGACATCTTTATTCAAATAATTTTTTATGATGCGTCTTAGCAACTTCATAACTATACAGATCTTAGAGTTAAGACTGAGCTGAGCGTTTAACCCTGATTCCTTGAAGTCATCAGTGAGCTGAGTAAACTATTTGCTATTGTGTGTGTGGTTGTACATTCCTGGTTGGTGGCTGGTCATTCATGCTCTGTAATTATTTCAGGATTTTCTCAGTACTGTAGAGGCAAAAGAAGCCCTTGAAAGGGAAGTTCAGATCTTCCAAGAAAGGTTGCTTGCTAGCCAGCGGGCTTGGGATGCCTCAAAGCAGGAGCTGAGCCTCCTGAAGAAAAGCTCTGAAGAGCTGGAGAAGAGTTTGAAGGCCAGTCGGGATACAGCTGTGGCTTCACAAAGCCAGAACTCCTCATTTAGGGAGAAAATCGCAGCCCTCCTGAGAGGCAGGCTGGGCCAGGCGGGGCCCACAGAGGACGCCATTTTGGAGAAGATTGGAGAGATGGGCAGCCAGGAAGAGAGCAGCAAAAGGGTAAGTGGGTGATGGCTGCTTATAAGTTCTCTCAAAAGAGTGGACTCGCTCGCTTAGCTCAGGTCAGCAAGTGATTCATCTAAATTAGTTTAAAGTGTAATTCAAATGTTGCTGTGTTACTGGCAGCTCAGTTGCATACACTCAGGTCCGGTGGTAGCTGCTGACCAAACCAAAGGAGGCCAATTATTTTGGAGAAAAGGAAAAAGGCTTTCATCGAAGCTGGCTCTGAGGGGATGCAGGGGCCTCGCTCGCCTCAAATCACCATCTTCCCACGTCCCAGTGCGCAAGCGAGGGGCAGAGGGCAGCGGGAATACAGGCAGGCAGCAGACAGCTCCACGCTTGCGCTTCTGTCCTGGACTCCACCTCGGGGCCGCACCTGCCTCTCCTCTCTGTCCCTCGGGGCGGGGCGGAGGGGCTGCTGGTTGTGCACTCAGCACAAGGAAGGCTGGAGAAGTCGACCTCCTGGCGCCAGCACCTGCAAATCTGTGCATTCCCCTAGGCGGAGGAGAGAAGGGGGTGTTGTAAAGCTCCGTTTTGTCATGCCCGTCTCAGCGGTGTCGCTTGCACTGGCGTAGTCGCCGGAGCAGCCACTGGCTGTGCTGCACTCCTCCTGTCCGAGCAGCCAGGGCCGAATCGAGTAGGGGCAGCTTCTCAGAGCTTGGCTTCTGAGCTCTGCTTTCCTCGGCTCCTTAGGGGCTGGCATGAGATGCACAGTCCCTTGTTGGGAATCTTTGGGAATTCAGGATTTTTTTTCAGGGTTTAGAAAGACAGAAAAGGCAGAAAAACAGCACAAGAGCAACTGTACCGAGTCCTCTGCAGGAGGGTCTGGACTGTACCCGACACTGGCGTGGTCATAGGCTGCAGCAAGCCCTGGGGCACCCGCAGGGCAGATGAGTGGGAATTACAAGGAGCTTCGTGTCACTTCAGGTCAGGGTTTGCTGCTCAGCTGGGTCAGGTCAGGCCAGGCTTTGTCAATAAATGAGTTACAGAAATACCTGGATTTGCAGCTACAGATAAGGGTTTCTAGACCGGTAATACCGTCTGCCTCATAAGGTTTTTGTTCATGCTAAGCATTAAACAGAAAAAATTGTCATAAAGTCCTTAACATGCTGTCTGGTAAATCACAGCCCTGCAGATTAACATCACTGCTGCTGTCCCTGTCCCCTCTCCTCTCTCTTCCTCCTCTTTGCATCATGCTGCTTGGGAAAGTCTTTCAAGCATCTATTTAACAAGTGGAGAAGGGTTTAATGCACCTATGTAGCAGAAGTGCACTTAATTTTGTCATTTACACTATTAACATACTAGTAATAATTCTCACTTTTTTTTTTTCAAAGACAGGGTCTCACTGGACTTGTAGTTTAGGCTAGTCTTGAACTCACTATGTAGCCCAAGTTGGTCTTGAACTGCCTCAGCCTCCTGAGGGCTGGGATTACAGACATGTGCCACGATGCCCAGCTTACAATTCACATTATCTATAAATTGATACCAAAGCCCCTGTCAGCCTGGACTACTTAAATGATCCTCAAAATGAAATGACTGAAGTCCTAATTAATGAGGTTTTCAAGTAAATTCTGTCCAACTTCCACATATAATTCCAGTATGACTGCTTCTTCTGTTCCTGTCATACTAGTTCACAAGGGGAAGATACATTTTCCATCTTCTAATATAATCAGTAATTCAAACCTCAGGGTTGTACCCCGAGATATCACCCCTTCCCCCTCCCCCAATCTGCCTTTGGGAACCAGTGTTTTATATCTGAGCATCCCCTATTTTTAGAAAAGATTCTGCAGATAAGTGATGTTCTCTTTCTGTGTCTCTTATATTTCAGGTAGGATACCATTCTCTAGGTCCTTCTGTGTGGGGGAAATGAACTATGGAGATAATGGATATACAAATTTGTTCTATATGTTAACCATTTTACTCTATATGAGTCTTATCACTTCACTTGGTATACTTTAAAATCTACACGATACGATTTTATTTAAAAAGATAAAGTTCAAGGTTACATTTGTAAAGTTTCTTTAATGATCAAAATACTTAACCTCTGTCCCCTCCCCCTTTTTGGAGCAGGATCTTGCTCTGTAGCCTAGGCTGGCCTTGAAATTGCAGCAATCCCCCTGCTTCAGCCTCCTGAATGCTGGGATTACAGGCATGTGCCATCTTGCTTGGCTCTTAAATTCCCTTTAAAGACTTTCCAAAAACTCACAGATGCTTCAGAAGCAGCAATCTCAAGTTCCTTGGCCAAGTTCAGGGTTTTATTTGATTATAAAATGTTCACACACAGCCGCTCCATAAATGATGTCTACCTCGTAATATGTTGGATTTCTGAGATCAACTTAGTTTTTCTCGTGACTCATTTTACACAGAGGTACTTGACTGGGGAAGAAAGTTGTTTACAGGATAGAAAAAACTTTATTAAGTTATTTATGTTGAATGGCATTAGATATACTTCAGCCACTATGGGTTTCTTTTTTTTGCCATTCATTTTATTGCTTCTCCTTCTGTATTTTCAAGTTTTTTCCTAAAACAGTTTTGATTCCAGCATGTGAAGCACGGCCTACAATTGTCAGCACGATGTATATGTTTATTTTCAAAAGGAAAATTGTGCAAATTGGTTAAGCTGAATATGCCTTCCCCCACTCCCCATAAAAATTAGGATGATTCAGAATCTTTTTAGTGCTTTTGTCTGCCTTTCCTACCCTGTAATTTCTCTCAATAGCTGCTCTGCCTATTTAAAAGCCTGAAATCAAGCATATAGCTGATGTCTTGTGTGACTCATCTTCAAGTAAAAGCAGGAGAAAATGGATTTCGTGTATTGTCTTAGAACTGTTTTGGAAGAATGGGAGCTTTATAAATTGATGAATCTGTTTGATAAGGAGGCCGCATCCCCCTGCCAGCTGCCACGGCTCCACACCCAGCCAACAGTGGAGCAGTACTGGTGCGGTGACCCAGTGGGCATGGGCCGGGCCTCCCAGCTTCTCCCCCGCATGTCCGCTCCTGCCCGCACGAGGAACTCTTCTCGTTCACCCCTTTGCCCGCCCTGTTCCTCTCCAGCGTCTGCAATTCTCGGTAGAACTGAGGACACCACCCGCACCTCAGTAAATGACGCCAGTAGGTCATTTCCACGTGCTCCTTGCATTTTTGCTTCTGGCAAAATTTAATTTTCCATGTTTGAGAGCAGGGTTCCTCAGCCTGGGTTCTGTTGGCATCTTGGGATGGCAGAGTCTTTAGTTGTGATGCTGTCCTGTTGTACAGCACTTAACAGTGTTCCCTGTCTCTACCCACTAGGTTTCTGTAGCCCTCCCATCCCAGGTTTTTTTTTTTTTAATTGCAACGCGAGGTCCTCTTGCTTTTTTTTTTTTTTTTTATGGTACCAGGAATCAAACTCATGACCTTCTGCTTGCCAGGCAGGTGAGGTGCCACTGAGCTAAATCCCAAGCCCCCCGCCCCAGGTTTTGACAGCCGTAGGTCTTCAAATACCATCAAGTGTCCCCCAGGGGGCAAAATCATTCCCAGTTTAAAACCCCTGCCTTAGAGGAATGAATGTTCTACAGCCAGATATTCTGCAATCTTTTCTTTGTTTTTGTTTATTAGTACGTGTGTAGTACATAATGTCTCCATTCCTTGGGGGAAGTTGGTACAAGTGCGAAACACATCTTAATGCCTTTTTATCCAGTATCCTTTCCCTCTCTCCCACTTCTTCCTTCCTTCCTTCCTTTTTTTTTTTTTCTGTACCTGTCTGTAGTACATAATGTTTACTTCCTTGTGTGGAGTTGGTCCATGTACATAACACATTTTAATTCTTTTTCACTGTCTTGTACCCCTTCCCTTCATCTCTTGAGTTCCTTCTTCTTCGAGAGTGATCACCTCCCTACTGTTATCTTTCTTTTATTTTTGCTCTTTATTTTTACCCTGGGGTTCTATGTAAGAGCTAACAATGTGATATTTAAGCTTGTCTGCCTAATTTATTTCACTTAAGATTATGGTCCCTGCAATCTTAAATGAGTTTTTAAATGCTATTTAGTATTAGAAATTGAGGTCATTGTAACAGGTGTTTTTTTGTTTGTTTGTTTGTTTGTTTGTTTTGGTCTTTTTGAGACAGGGTCTTGCTCTGCAGTTCAGGCTGGCCTTGAGTTCACTCTGTAGCCCAGACTGGTCTCAAAGTCATAGTGATCCTCCTGTCTCAGCCTCCCAAGTGCTGGGACAGGTGTTTATAAAATAACAGTTTTTTTGCTCCATGGCAGAAAGTTACAATTTTAGGTTTTTTTTAGAATTTTGAAGCAAAACTTCCCCTACTTTGAGGGGTTGAACTGACCAACCATCTGGATGAAAATTGATCATGTGTAAGGAGAACACGACCATGATAAACTTCTTGTTTTTTCCTAAATTTTACACAGACACAGATGCATACAGACAGACAGACAGACACACACACAGAGACACACTTCTGGTACCAGAGATTGAATTCAGGGCCTTGCACATGCAAGGAAAATGCTCTACCTCTGAGCTATACCCTAGGCCTTTTTATTTTATTTGGAGACAAGGTCTTGCTAAATTGCCCAGGCTGGCTTTGAACTTGTGATCCTCCTGCCTCAGCCTCCCAAGGTGGGTGCTATGGTGCCCAGTCTCACTTCTTAAATTAAAGAGGAATCATACAAGCTTATGCACATAGAACTGGATGGACCACCTTTTTGTCTACGTTAGACACGTGGAAGCTTTACTTTCTTCACAGGAAACCTTCTTATTCTGAAGGCTGTGTGAGAGCTGAGGGGACCCAGCTGGATGTTCTAAAAGACCTGAAGCGGACTCCATGGCCTCTGATCCCTCTTCTGCTGGCCGTGCACCATCATCTTTCTCCTGCTCTGTCATAAATCCCGCCACATACTGAAGGGGGCCTTTCCCCAGAAGGGGCAGCAGACTGCTGGTGTTTCCTTGCACATGGCTGTGTTCCAGGTCACCCCGGCTACACAGGCATCCTCGAGAGTGAGCAGTAGGGGTTT